AGACGACTTCGGACTAGGTGCGTTCTACATAGTCGCCCTGACAACAAGACTAAGTTGCGACAACGAGGTCGACTGACTACTATAAATGGAAAGAAGACTGCGACCATAACAGAGGCCACAACATCTTGGTCTTCATATATTTAATTCGTAAGGTTTAGTAAAACCGTTTTATTACTTGCACTGTGCACAAAACGGGAGATATGGATATGAAACGCAACTAAAGGGAATCACAAACTTACTCTCTGTAAATGCTTCAGTTCTGGGAGTTCAACATCAATCAACAGCGCAAATGACATGAAGCATTTCATTTGGCTAACAGAGGGTATCCCATCCGTAAGAGTAGAGGGAAGGGAAAGCATACGTTCAAGAACCCCGGCGCTATCTGGCGGCAAAGTTGTCCCCGAAGTTTTAGAAACATGGATAAAAGATTTCGATGTGCTAACGTCGCCATCAGCCGTTTTTCCAGCCAGATTCATAGAGGAAGCCTGGCTGAGCGAGGAAAAGAGAGTAACAGTAGACCTATCATCAGAAGTGAAAGTTGAGTCAGTGATTCCAGAGTGCAAAGGATTATCCAGTCTAGTCTCAACTACAGCTGGCTTTGATGAATGTGACGAGAGGCAGGTAGGCAGGTTGAGAAGTTGACAAAGAAGACTGGATTCCTTACGCCAATGTGCGATACAGACCGCCATCTGCTGTAGTTCATCTGCCTCAGGCAGAGCACATGGCAAGTGAAGGACAACCTGAACCAAGCTGGCAAATTCCTCTAGAGTTAGCTATCAAGGGGCGGAAGTAAAGAAAGATTAGGCAAAAAAATTAATCATGAGTACAATTTCCTTTAATAACCCAGACCGTTTTGGAAAAATTGAATACCATTTCTTAAATAACCCTAGGTGACCTAGAATGACTGTTTTTATCCTATTATTATTAAACAGTTTAAAAACAACTATGCATAAAATACTTCGTATATTGTAATAGCAAATATATACATGTCTGGTCGAAGATCCAGCTATAGCAAAGTGTAAATCGGAAGGGGCCTAGAATGTCCTGAAATTACCATCTGCCCCGAGATTGAAAAGCTGGATGGTAATATGTCGCCACAATGCACACTATCCGGTTTTGAATCCTGTTGAAAGTTCTGAGCAGACCCAGTTAAAGCTGAATCTGCAGTCTATCCAGGAGAATAAAACCCTTTGGGATAAAAGTATAGGTGAAATTCGATGGCACTGTGAGGCTTAAAGAAAGCCTTGTGGTAAAATGCCACCATGGATACTTAAATCAAAGCTAACGATCTAAGGTGACTAAGTTCGTATTCAAGAATGACTGATGAGTTTGAAACTATCACATATATTTAAAAAAGTTTCGTTTTAGTCAAGCATAAAAATAAAACATACAGACCTGCGACCATATTAGAGGCCACAACATCTTGGTCTTTATATCTACAGCCCTGAGTTTGCATTAATCGGCTGTTTTGATGAGGACAAAACTACTTATAAGTATAAGAGATGTACTGGTAGTCTCGAAAGTATACGTATACTTAAAAGTATGGCTGAAGTTCTATTTCATCATGTTGTTTGTTAGACTTTCATTTCATATGAAAGTGCATGAAGAAGAGATTCGTATGTCGATCTCACCAAAAGAGGATGGATGAATCCCATTGTACTGCAGACGTTTGGCCTTTATACGATGTTCGGGTTGACGCAGTCCACGAGACTTCCTCCCTCGTTTCAGGTGAAAACGGACTGAGCTTTCATCCATCATATGATGGACATCATCAGAGCTGGGTCTCATTCCTGTAAAAGTCTAACGTTAACACTAGAGCAAGAATAATATCCAGCTCTATCTTACCTTTTATATAGACTCAATTAAGCATAAATAAAATTAAAAACCTAGATGGATATATAGTGGTTTGGCTAATTATCTTTTATACTGCTCCTGCCACTTTTGCTCTAATTTGTGCGTTTGTGTTAGCGTCTATACGCAATACCGGTCCTAAATCTGAATTATCAAAAGGCTAATGTCAGACTATGATCATCAGGGCCTAATGACCCAAGAGAAAGCCCTGACCGAGACTTCGTAAGTCCGTAAGTAAGTATGGTTGAGATAATGAGATATGAGCTTATAAGCATATAAGTCAAGTTACGAAACCAATTGTCTTAACCTCTCAGTCTAAGGTCATTACCGTTAATCATAAGAGGAAATGCATGACTGGGTTGAGTAATCTGGCACGCCTGGTTTGGTTGATGAGCTCAATCTAACATGTTGGACGAGTGAGAGTGAAGTTATAACCATCACCGAGCAGACAAATTGAGTCGCCTTCTTTTGGACAGCGGCTCAACATCCTCTGTCTCCTTCAATCTATCTATCAAGCATAAGTAGTTCCTACTCAACTTTCAACCACTGTTCCTCACATTCAACGCATTTCCTAGGCTATTAATTTCAATAGCCTCTCTTATTTTTCTTAGAACCACATATGTACCATAATCAGCAAGCCCACTAGTTTGAGACCATTCTATTTCATGTCCAGTTTCTACTATATGTTCGGCCACCTCTGATCGTTGGATCCAGCTTCCTTTGCAAGCATTTTTGTGTTCTCTCAATCTTTGTCGAATAGATCGGCATGTCTCACCAACATAACATCGACCACATGAGCAAACAATCTTGTAGAAGCCGGATCTCGATAATGGGTCATATTTCTCTCTAAAAGATGGTATAACAGAAGAAAGTGTGAGGGTTTCTTTGAACACTGTTTTTATGCCCCACTTTCTCACTAATTCGCCGATCTATTTTGAGAGGAGGCACGAAGGCAAAATTAGGACATGTGAAAAGGTGTCAGTCTGTCTATCTTTGACTAAATGATCTCCGTCTGAAAATGTATTCCTCAGTAGGAAGATATTATTCTTAATAAGGCCCAAAGGATAATTATTTTCCAGTAATAAATTTGTCAGCCGATCGAACTCTTTAGTCAAATGAGCAGATTTCATCTAGAATTTCATGAAAATAAAAGCCTGCCTTATTGTGAGCTGAGTCAAAAATTACAACCGAAACTAGGTTTCGATGATTCTCATGAGATAACATTGTTGGGGAGACTTTCATTTTGTGTGAAAGTGCATGAAGAAGCTATTCGTAGGGCGATCTCACCAGAAGAGGACGGATGAATCCCGTTGTACTGCGTCCTCTTATGGTGAAATCGACCTACGAATTTCTTCTTCATGCACCTTCATACAAAATGAATGTTTTGAGTTTATTTTCAGCAAAAAACCCTATACTATCTCAAATCAGATAACACACAAATTGACAAATTATTCTTAAGCAAATGAGGATCACGCACCTAGAATAAAGTGTAGATTATAATTTCGTACAGCGAAATAGGCTGAGTTCAAAATAGGATGAGCATTTGCATGCAAAGTTTTCATTTTAAAGGAGCAAAAGTGCCTTCTCTTAAGTATTCAAAATTAATAACAGATGAGAAAATAATTGGGTGTAACTTAAAAGCAACGTAAAATGTGAGAAATCAACCTTTGAGACAACGGCTGCTTCCGATTTAATGACTGATTTTCCCTCCTCGGAAAGAGCACATGAAACAATCGATTCATTTTCGTCCTCACAAACACTGCTATCACCAGTCGATATCCCTTCAACGGACAGATTAGCTATATCACTTGGTCCAGAACGTTTATGCTTCCCAAATGCGTGCTCAAGAGATTCAAATTGCTCTTTTTGCTGCTGACGACGCACGGAGAGCAAACCATGGGGATCACGTTCGATTCGCTTTCGAGATGCACTACGCAAAGAACGATAAGACGTCGTTTGACAAGACTTAGAAGTATCTGCTTCCACTTGTTCAATAACGGCAATTTGCCTATTCACCTCGGAAATTTTTACATGGGCTACCTCCTAAAAAGAGAAGAACAAAATGAAATAGAGCGGGTCAGTGAAAAAAGGATAGAAATGATAAACTGATGAAAGACATCGACAAGAATAAGAAAAGCAAATCGTATAGCGTTTTAAAGTAGTAGGCCTTTTAAAAGTCATTACCGTTGCTTAGCTTATCAGTGGAAGCCTTGAAGCAATGAAAAGCAAGTGCATTTCTGAAGCTCATTATATAGATCAAGTCATAGTATGAGAGAGCAGTAAATAATAAAAGGCTATGAAATAGTCTGTACCAGAATAGCCTTACCTGGAAGATGCGTGCAAAGATAGAAAATCATTTATTGGCATTCTTTAAAATTCATTTCAACCTAATGCTCATATCATGCCAAAGATTTCCGCAAACGAGCACATAAATTATATAATTTAAGAATATTCATCCGCGATTGTTTCGGCGCCAGCAATCGAATGTCAGTTAGGTGAAATAGTTCAAGTAATTATAATTTTGTTGTAAATGCTATTATCTCTAAGTTGACTTTTTCATATCGAGGTATGAAACTGAAACATTTTTTAAATACAAGGAGACTTAATAACGAATGGGGCAGATGTATCTCTAACAATGGTGCACAGGTGATCCAAGAGGTCTGGACATAGTTCAGAGAAAAATTATATCTAAAATACTTAGTATTTTATCTACATAATAAGATAGGGTTGACCAAGAATACCGAAAAATTTACCAAAACTTGATCTCTATAAAATTATTGATATTTACCTCTCCAACCACTTAAAATTATAAATATAAAAATAATTTCAAATAAGTAAAGAAGTAAGAGGCTTTCTAACAACATAATATAATGTATAAAAGCTACAAAATCTAGACAAAATGATTCACTAGGGCAAACAATAAGCCTTGTTGTTTATTTGTATTTTTAGACGTTAATTAAAGTGGAGACAGCATAAGGTCAAAAATATACTACTGAACAGTGATGCTAGGAAGTGAGTGCAAGGCCGCTGAATATGTTCTGATGTACAGGGATTATCTGCCAACATAAGTGAGACAAAGCTGTGAAGAGCAAAGATGTTTAAATTACTATAATTTACTTACTTCTTCTTTTTTAATTGATTCAAACTTTGATGGAGAAGACTTAAGTTGAACTTTTGTAGATTCATCTTTGGATGAAATATTGAGGGTATTAAGATGATCAGTAAGCCTATCAGACCCAAACGATTCGAGAGCACGTCGGTAGCCTTGGAGAACGCTGCGAACGACGGAGGAACACTCAAGAACTGTGGTCGCGATGGATTTTAGCTGCTTTATTGAAGCCTCTGGATATTGATGGGCCTCCCCGATTGAGATCAAATTCTGAGACCAAAGAACAAAGTTAATCAATATGATGAATTTAAAGATAAGAGAAAAAAGAACAAATTTTATAAAAAGGTTAAATATGCA